GAACGCGTTTTTCCGCGAAAACGAAATTGAATGGACACGGTTTATGGCGCGAGGAATTGTGCGTCGTTATCTAGCGCGCGAGATCCGCGCACATGCGCCTCCTCCGCTTTTACGAGCGTCGCAAGTGCGGCTAATGCTTGTGCGGCTATCCTACCTACACGATTCAACGTATTAAGAAATTCTCTATCTCTCTCCTCCTCTTTCAAACGAAGGTGTATCACACGAGGCTTCGCCCAGCAACGCGTTTACATTTACACCAGCGAAAGAATTCACGGTTCTACGTTCCGTTCAACGCGCCGCGGATGTAAGCTGTTTAAATTAAGCGGCTTTCGCGGCGGGACAATTAGATCTCGGGGAAAATTACATGCACCGGATGATACGTCCCGTGGCTTCAATTATTAAACAATACTAGAATTCCGTCGTTTAAGTTAAAAGGGCTGTAAAACGAGAGACTGTTGATCCTCTCAAATTTACGAATTTTTCGGCCCCAACACACGATCAAGATAACAGGAATTCCTCTTTCGTTCGCGCCGATCGTTTAAATAACAGACGCCAGGTTGAACACTGAAATAATACGTTATTCTTAGTATGCAGGTCAGATGGTTTCTTTCAATTATTATCGCCTCCGACACTGTTACCGTTTGACCTGGCCTGATTCACTCCGAAAGGACTCTTTCGCGAATAGCCATATTTTGCATACGGTCGAGGATAGAAGAGGCTAGAGGGAACTGTTCGTTTTACCTCCCGTGGTGCGTATATTTTCTCTTCTTTTTTTTTTTTTTGTTCACTCCGCTCTTCTATCGAACGGCAGTAACGTCGTTTCGACGCGTTCGGATAATATCAATGGGTGATTGCGTTGCAATCTGCGCAAATCGAAACAGAGATTTCGTTGTCGGGGGCGTATTTCACGGCGAAATATGCAAATTTCACGGTCGACGACGAACACACGCCGGCGAGATATCGCGCGGTGTCAAAAATATTATTTCAAAATGACACCCGCGAAACTGCGCTCTTCTCGGCGCGAAAAACGTGCGGAAAAAGGAAGGGTAAAATACGACAACAGGGGGAAAAAACAGGTGTTCGACAGACGAAGATAAAAGAAGGCAAACACGAGAGATTTCTTTAAAAATATTCATTTTATTCGATCTCTAGACTTTCTCCAGA